TTATTTTTTTGACAATATTCTGGTCTCAAAGCAAAATATATAAATTCAGGGTAAGACTTAGTTTTTAGGGACAACATCAAAAGACCGATATGTAGGATAAAGCAAAAATCGTAATTCACATAGTTAAGTGTGTGGCTGCTGTTTTTTGTTATTGAGTTTCTGCTTGTAGGAAAAATGTATTATACCTGCCAATTATGTTTTTTTTCAAATTAAGTTAAGAAGGGGCTGATTATCATTAATATAACTATGTGAATTCAGTTTTTATAACACATTCCAATTACAAATTGATGTAATTCCTAACTGGGATAGAAAGGGTACATTCAGGGTAGGCTCAGGAAAACTGTTCTTAAGACCTCATTGCTACATGTTTGTTCTGTTTTGATATGTATACCGGGTGACTAATGTCGGATCTGCCTGTTCTGGTCTTGAATTGTGTTTAGACTTTGGTGTAATTTTTTTGTGACTTTGAGATTTATTCACAGCTACTTTAAGTACCGCTTAAGTCGACGCTAGGGGCCGTCTTGACATTGTTGTAAAGTATGAATGAATCGTTCATTGTTGAAGACCCTCCAGCGACTGTCAAGATGAAGAACAGGAATAAAAGCCCTGTTCATTGATAATTTGTATTTTTTTTCCATGCACACTCCATATCCCTTTATTTTCTATTAAAGGGCCTAAACACGGCTTAATACAAGTTTACGCCCTTCAATGTAAAAGGTCATATGGCAATACATTAATTTTCTTTTTAAATGCTTTGATTCCGAGAGATTGGTTGTCTCACTTTAATTTAACCCATGTCATCTTTTTAGTCTAACAGAAAAGAGAGCCAGTTATGTATTCTTTAATATAAAGTATAATTTTCCATGAAAAAACGACCAATTTTTTTATGTCCGGTAGCTTCGTATCTTCTCAAAACACTTTCTCGAACAATATCTGGACATCGGTGGACAAGTTCAAGTTCAAATTCTTTATTGTAAACTCTCAGACACATATAGTGTTACAAGAGGAATTCAGTACATATATTCAAATGGAAATGGCAGCTAAAATATACAAATGCGTATCATTAAATTAATTATGAGCAGTTCCGCTAATTACAATATTTTTTCTACATTCCTCAAAAATATAGCTATATTCTTTAAGATCTTTATATTACATAATGAGAATAGTCCATACATTTTATATACAGATGGATAACGTGTATGATATGTTGGAATATACAGAGTTCTAAGAGATGTTACTTTAACATGGTTACATATAAAAAAGTAGTGGTATTCATTACCTATTACATTCAAGTTACACAAATGACAAATCCTGTGTTCCATGGATGTACCAACCCATCTACCTGTTTCGACAGGAAATTTCACATTTGAGCATCTTAGTTTACATATAGTTAAACGATCAACTTTAGCTAATTTTAAAAGATATCTTTGTAGTCCAAATTCTTTCTTGAGGCATAGATAAAATTCGCCTCTAGAAGATTTACCCATATCACTATTCTGGTAAAAATTATCTAATAACTTTTGCTTTACTAAACCATTAATATCATTATTATTTAACAAATTCTGACCATTCCATATATAAGATAAACCTATATTATCAAATGTAGACTTGATACATTATATCCATTTAAATCTAAAGTTGTGTGTACCTTGTAATGTATATAATAATTTATACAATATACCTGATAACTTACTTGGGTTTTGTAATAATTTCTTCCAGAAGTTCAACATTCTAAGGTTTACTTGAATATGCAGCGGATATCTTCCACTTTCCCCATAAACCATATAATTTGGTGTACTAGTACGAATTCCCAGGATCTTCTTAATAAACTGCAAATGAACTTTCCAATATCCTTCATATTTTCGAATCCCCAGACCTCAGAGGTATATAGCAAAATAGGTGACACTAAGCTGTCATATAATTTTAACTGAAGACCTACTGGAAAATTCAAATTCCTAGTACGTCTAAACAGAGCAAAAAGTGATTTTTGTGCTTGCTGCATCAAGTTTTTTCTAGCTAGAAAGAAATTACCGTCATATTTTAGAGTTAAACCCAAGTAAGAGCAATCATCGACAACTTTTACTGTTTCACCAAATAATTTAAAATCATGATTCAGTCTGGATTTTCGTTTTGAAAAAATAACAATTTTTGTTTTCTGTGAGTTCACCTTTAGTTTCCATTGTGCACAGTAGTTCTCAAATTTTTCTAACATAGTTTGCAATTTTTCGGGACTCTCAGCTAATAATATTGTGTCGTCAGCATATAACAATAGAAATAAATGTACATAACACTGAATGTTTTCTTCACACAAGTTGGTAATCATATCAAGTCCTGAAACATCATTTTCAGTGAAAAAACTTTCTAAATCATTCAAAAAAATTGCAAATAAAAATGGAGATAGATTTTCTCCTTGACGTACACCAATATCACAACTAAAGAACTCAGATAATGCATTACCTTGTTTGACACATGACTTTATACCGTTATACATATTAACAATTACTCTCAATATTTTACCGTTAATTCCACTATCTGAGAGTTTTTGCATAAACCTACCCGCCAAACGGTGTCAAACGCTTTTTTAAAATCAACAAAGGTACAAAACAGTTTTTTTCCCATACATAAATAGATTTGTGATTTTGATATAAGTTCTATGTAAGTTCTATGTAATCGGCAAATTTTGTCAATCTCGTATTCAATATAGATGTGAACAGTTTGCCGAGGTTTGATATTAGGGTAATGGCTCGATACGAGTCTGGATCAGTTGGACCACCCTTGTTTTTGTATATAGCTTGAATGACCCCTATGGTCCACGACTCTGGTATTAAACCATTATCCAATATCAAATTAAAAAGTTTGGTGTATATCGAAATCATATAATCAGATGTGGATTTGATATATTCATTTACATGTAACATTGCCAAACCACACAACCGTTCACCCGTTATTAACGACCACTTCGACTATGCTATTTCGATATTTTTTATTATCAATGTTTCATAGACTAACCGATACATATTTTTACAATTTAAAGTAGTTTTTAAAATTAGACGACCAAGTTTAAAACAAAATTGCTAATTTACAAATGAAATTCAACGCTAAGACAATAGTCATGAAGAAGAGCAATCAATGAACAAAAGACAAACCCGTGAACAGATAAGACACATAACAACAAAATATAGACAATCAACACTGAAAACTAGATATAAATGAGAAACATGGATCCCGAAAAAACAGGGGCGACGTCAGAGGGCGAACAGAACTTGCTTCTTGCATGACACTCGCCGTGAAAACAATTTGTTATGAAGACAAGCTTTTGTTTCAACTGATTAATCTTTTTTTGAAATTTCCAACATGAGGTATTTGCCTCATTAGCCTCAGTGTAGTTACGGCCCTGCTAATGACCATACACCAACAATAAGAAATAAGATAACCTATTGCTTTAAGTATCCAAGAAAGAGACCAAACCATGAAAAGTCAACATTGACCAATGAACCATGAAAATGAAGTCAAGGTCAGATGAACAATGCCAGACAGACCACTTGAGGAGTATTGACAAATGGGGTGTAAGTACCACTGGTAAACACCAGGGTTACATTTATCGCCCAGCCTTGGTTAAATTTATTCACAACTTTTATAGACTTATGACATTTTTAACTTGCCATATTATATACTATAATAGTGTCAACAGTTTCTCATATAAACATGTATATACCATTTACAATATTGTGATGCATTAAATTGTAAAGCTAAATAATAGTTCTTAGTGAAAACAGTTTTTGGTGGTAAAACTTTACTACTTACTAACATTGTATAGCTCACTTGATATTGGTGCTGATAATGTCAGTATCAAAAATAAAAATGCCATTATTCAATATTTACTTGGTCCCTCTCATGGGTTCCTCGTTTACCGTGATATTATAATAAGGAGAGTCTGCCATGAATTTAGATAATCCCACGCTCCATCGTTCGTTAAAAGAACCATTTGTAGATTTCGAAAAAATCCGGTACAGAAGGTTGATTTTTCCCTCTCCACCAACCACTCCCCGTTTCCTGTATTACTAAAAGTTTATAAGACCATTACTAACTTAAAAACCCGAAAAACTGCTTCTAACAAACAAATTGACTTCTACATCGACATGAAAATCATTGAAAATATAGTTTATGTAGACCATCGTTACCACCATCAACAAGATTGAATCACAATGACACCATCGCACTTCAGCGTCATCAAAAACGCACCTCAGCGTCAAACCATTGCACATCAGCGTGACCCTTGCGCGGTTCGGAGTACCATCGCAGTTCAGAGTCTTTCATATGTATAGCTTATGCAAACATCATATTAGGCACGATCATTTGATTAATACTGTTAAATGATGATTAATATTTTTGGTTTCGATAATTTGGTTTCGCGCACCATCACGATACCATTGCTAATAAAGTTATTATACCCCAGTTGCCAATTCAGTGACGGATTCAGGGGGCGGTGAGTGGGCATTGAGGGCGTACGCCCCACTTTGATTGGATAATATCATTTTTAGGCTAAAATTCGTCAAAACAAAATTGGTATATATACCATTTTTTACTTATCCCTACCCCTTCATTGGTCCCTGGATCCGCCTCTGGCCATTGCTTTTGTATCAGCACGATATAACTAAGACTAATGTTTCTTGAATAACTGTCATCAGGTCCTTGAGATCAAATGTTTGGAAACAAAATATAAAACGTTTGAGAGCATAAAAAGTAAAGCGAAACAAGATTTACTGAAAATCCTGAAAGAAATTACATAAATGGTAGAGTTATAACAAGAAGAAACACGAAAACCATCAAAAGGAGCACACTTAGTAAACAATGGAATGCACACTTTCCGTTGAAATTAATATCAATTTCCAAAACTCAACAAATATCTTAAGTCATAAATATACTTGAAAATGATAAAATTATGTAAGGACAAGTAAAAGCACGACAGGATGGATGTAACGCCCATTATTTCACAAAACTCAACAAAATATTTTTTTAATGAAAATGGCATTATCTAGGTGGTATTGATTTCGTTTTAGTTTTACTCAAATAAGTTAGGTTTTAAACAATGGCGCGTTTAGAGCATTATAGCAATTAATTCGCATCTCTTTTTTAATTTCGACTTCATGTTTGCTAGGAAAATCCTGAACAAGTTTCCTTCGAAGGTTGACTAACTCCCTCTTGTTTTCATCTGAAAGATGTTTTAAAAGTTTTATTTTGTATTTCATTTGATTTGATTGAATTGATATTATGATTCATCAAAATATTATATTAACTGTCGTCCCTCCGGTAGAAGTTTAGTCTCCACTTAAATTAAAAAGCTTTGCAACAACAATAGTTCGGTCCACAGTGGTTTGGAGTCCACGTACATCCTCCCATCCCGTAACCATACGTTACCGTACTTATTTTACCAGCATCAGGTTGAACATTATTAGGATTAATTTGAAGCTTTGTATGATCTTTACGAATCTTGATTGCATCGAAACAGGCAACACTGAAAAGAAGAAAATATCAAAGATAAAAAGCACAGGCAGCTCCAACGACGTGTCAAAATTACCCAGCATGAAATTAGATTGCAATCCTCCCCAAATGTTTTTTTCTCTTTTTTTGGTGAAAAAATATAAATAATTTAACTTAAAATTGTGTTAAACTGAGCATGGTGAAAATATTTTATTCCTCCATAATTTCTCTATTTTCTTATACAGAGAAAAAATACATTTGGACTAGAATTATTGTTTTTCATTAACACAAACAGAGCCGTGCAAATTACAGACACATGTCACTGTTCCTATTTGAAAAGTGCTGCTTTAACCATTGTTTTGCTGACTTACTTTTTTCTTCCATGATTTATAGCATTTAACATATCATCATTTGCATCTCTGCAGATATCATTACATGTAGGTGCAATTCCATGACAATTTCGTCTAATAGCAAACACAAATGCAGGGTCTGGCAGACGACTTGAACAGTAGGTCTGTGCCATCTCGTCAAAATAGTTGTAGTTCAATCCTGAATAAGATAAAAAAATTGAAAATCAAACTTAAATTATGACATTATGATTATCACAATCAATGTTACCTTTGTCAAGATAAAGTGTGTAATAGTCCTCGGTATTGCACTAATATCCAAGTGCATGCCATTTTCCAGACAGAATCATTTTTTCTATAACATCAGCAGGTAATTTTCTGTCATTGATGACACATTTACTCATAATAACCCTCTTATTTGTGATCTTAAAATGTTTGTTTGATTGCTTGTCCAAATTTTCGAAAGCTTGAAACCGCCTAAAAATGTGTAGAAATAATACAAGACGGATTAATAATGATTGAGATGAAGGGATATTTTGGCGGTTTTTCCCAAATAAGTGGCTGTTAAATTTTGGTGTGTCAAATTTTGATGTGTCAAATTTTGGCAATTTGTGTCAATATCATATCATGGTTTTAGCATCATGGAAATCAATAATAACTCATTGTTAAACTATCTAGCTGTCGGTGACTACCTATTTATTTCAGACAAACACCAAAAAAGAATTAATAAAAAAAAAAAACAACAGTCAAGATAACAAACTTATAATCTAGGGTCACCGAGGTATTACAAAGCACTAATATAATTCAGTTGCAATTGGTTTAACTTAGAAGATAGGTACGAGGCACACACAAAAAAAAAAAAAAAAAAATTAACACAAAAACAAAAGACACAAAGCACCGAAATAAGAGAACTCGCAGTTACATCTTGTTGAATGCCAATTACAACTAATAAATAAATCATGTTCTCCAGACTAAAGTATCAATCAGTACACATCCAACGGGTTAAGTGTAAAGACGTCATAAACAGTCTAAACAAAAACATGACCTTCTGCTTTACGGCTTTATTATACATGTATATCATTCGATTTTGACAATATGTGAACGGTTAAATTGTAAATGAAACAACAGACATTCTACTGCAGTCTGACACAGTTTATTTATGATAAATTGTATTTCAGCCACTTGAATAGATTATTGCTTCATTAAGGTTTTCCATTCACACATATGTTATTAGCCTCACGTTCTCCGGTACGTCACCCCTTTAGTACTTACATAAGCAACAAGCGACGGGTGCCGAATGATGAGTAGGATCTGCTAATCCTTCCGGAGCACCTGAGATCACACCCGATTTTTGGTGGGGTTCGTGTTGCTCAGTCTTTAGTTTTCTCTGTTGTGTTTTGTATACTGTTGTTTGTCTTTTGTCTTTTTCGTTTTTTGCCATGGCGTTGTCATTTTATTTCCGACTTGTGAGATTGAATGTCTCTTAGGACTCTTTCGCCTCTTGTCTCAACTACATGCATTCTTACCTCTACCTACCCATAATACTTACACGTGCTAGTGTGCATCATGGTAACATGTTATGATTTTTGATAAACTATTGATAGTATCAATTTGTTTGACCATAAGGCTACAAATGATCGGCTAAAACGCAACAGATCAGAAACATAGCAGCGACAGAGCAGACGAGAAGCTTATAGAATACCATTGAAAGTTTAAGAACCGGGCCTCCAAAAGACGTTATACGAAATGAGTCTGTCATGTGATTCGGAGGACAAATTTCAAGATTCTACTTCATATTTTGATGTCTGTTATGTAGTTGACATAAACATTTACAGTTATAGCTCGTTTCTGCTTCATTAAATTTGTAAGATACGCATATTTACGTAAACCTATTCCTCGATGGATACTTTGTCTAGCGTCTTTTTTTTCGACTCGAAATTCCACATGTGAAAGTTTAAAACCGAGGAATGGTTTTGGTCATATAAAATTGACTATTTACAGAGATTTACAGTTATTTTCAGCCAAAGTGTGTGTTATAATGTCACTAATCTCACCTTTCAGAGGAGTATTGCCTGCAGACTGTTCACTGAATTGTAGTTTATTTATATAATCTGTTTCTTCTTGAATGGCTTTACGTATTTCAATTTTCTTCCTTTCTAATTTCAACACATTGAATTCTTTTTCCAAAGAAGAAAGTTCCTGGTCTTGTAACAAAAAATAAATAAACCAAACAAGCAGCCAATCATCAATAAACGCACATCTTCAAATGTTTTTTTTTATTATCTACAATTACTTAACACAAGAATATATTATACTGGAGTAACAAATTAAGAAAGGGGTTAAATGGAACGACAAACCTGCAGACTTGAGATAATATGTTATGTAAACTTCATACCTTCCTCAGTTGCTTTTTTTCTGTAGTTGTAATTTATGAAAGCATCAATCTATTAATTCTGTACTTAACATGCTTTACTTAAAATGAGATCTAACTGTATACCTCTTAATATACAAAACAAGTCGGAATATGTACTTCACATTTGTTTTACAACAGAGGGACATTACTATTCATATCCTTATATATCTTATAAATGATAATGGCTATTAATTGTTCATCCTATCAAATATATTGATGAGGACGAAGAACAATGCAATTAAATCGTGGTACTGCACTGTACGTATAAATTGTTTTTGTATTTTTATTTAAAGGACAAGGTTCACTTTAGGCCAAATATGGCATTGAATTTCAACTTTATCATAAAATTTCAAAATGGCCAGAATTTTGTTCTTAAATGGATCCATTTCAAAAGAAATCCTTCCTTGTTTAAAGAAATCTTTTCATAAGAGTACATTTTTGGCTTCAAAAATCAGCACATTTTGGATATTTTGTCAAAATACGATGATTTTGTGCATTTTTTGGACCTAAAAGCTTGAGGAAACCCTTGGCCGCAACCTAGGATCCAAAATGTTCTGTAACCAAGAGCTGCCAATGATGATATTGAATCCTAAGACACAAAAACTTTCTGGATCTTGGATGGCGGCCAAAGTAAATTATGCTAAAAACTGTTAAGAATTATTGAAAATTTGACCAAAACTGACGTTACAACTCAAATAATGCATACTTAAAAGAGTCAATACTTCGTCATATTTAATATGATGTGCAAAAATGAAGTTTTTTTGTATTAATAGTAATATCATAACTATTTCAACGTGATATTTGTAGTATTATGGCCTGATTAAAAAAAAGCATCAACATCTTTGGGCCAATTTTAACCCTTCGTGAACTTACTCCGGCCTAAAACATCTAGTATTTTATGCAACACTTGCAAAATAACATCATGTTGATACCTTATTATTGGTATTATAAAAAAATACAAAATGTAAACCAAACGCCTTACTCCCTAAAAGAAGTAGGTTTTTATTATATATAAAAATGTCTTAATCAATGATTATTTCAATGTTGGTTGAATTTCTTTCAGGTAAGTACTTGGCTCATATTTATCATGTAATACAATCAATGCTTAAAAGGTTTCTTACAGATCATATTTGGTTAAAAGTTATTCCTATCCATACAACTGGTCCTCTCCTGCTCTTATTGGCTGTGCATTTGATGTGTTTTCAATAAGTTATTTGAAATCATATTAACTTTCATATAAGAATATTTAAGGATTGTGTTTCTTAATTATTTATTTTTTTAATATTATTATTATTATTATTATTATAATTATTATAATTATTATCATTATTGTCTTATTTGTGATTCATATCAATGGAATTGCCCTTTGTGGGCTCTATAATCTGGAACAAAAGATATTTGTATTTGTATAGGTTTATAACACCAAAATAACGTCACAACGGATATTTCTGCAGGTTAAAAGGGTCCAAATTATATCAATTAATTCCATTACCAAATTACTATGCATGCAATTTTGATAGGTAAACAAATGTTTAGATAAAAAGATGGGACAAAGTTTCCATGTATTTGTTTCATTCACACGGTAAAAATCAAAACAAATATCTAGATAAAAAGATGAGACAAAGTTTCCATGTATTTTGTTTCACTCACACGGTAAAAATCTAAAAATAATATCTAAATAAAAAGATGGGACAAAGTTCCCCTGTATTTTGTTTCACTCACACGGTAAAAATCTAAAAAATAGTATCTAAATAAAAAGATGGGACAAAGTTTCCCTGTATTTTGTTTCACTCACACGGTAAAAATCTAAAAAAAATGTCTAAATAAAAAGATGGGACAAAGTTTCAATGTATTTTGTTTCACTCACACGGTAAAAATCTAAAAATAATATCTAAATAAAAAGATGGGACAAAGTTCCCCTGTATTTTGTTTCACTCACACGGTAAAAATCTTAAAATAATATCTAAATAAAAAGATGGGACAAAGTTTCCCTGTATTTTGTTTCACTCACACGGTAAAAATCTAAAAAAAATGTCTAAATAAAAAGATGGGACAAAGTTTCAATGTATTTTGTTTCACTCACACGGTAGAAATCTAAAAAAAAAATGTCTAAATAAAAAGATGGGACAAAGTTTCAATGTATTTTGTTTCACTCACACGGTAGAAATCTAAAAAAAAAAAAGGCTAAATAAAAAGATGGGACAAAGTTTCAATGTATTTTGTTTCACTCACACGGTAGAAATCTAAAAAAAAAATGTCTAAATAAAAAGATGGGACAAAGTTTCAATGTATTTTGTTTCACTCACACGGTAGAAATCTAAAAAAAAAAAAGGCTAAATAAAAAGATGGGACAAAGTTTCAATGTATTTTGTTTCACTCACACGGTAGAAATCTAAAAAAATGTCTAAATAAAAAGATGGAACAAAGTTTCAATGTATTTTGTTTCTCTCACACGGTAGAAATCTAAAAAAAATGTCTAAATAAAAAGATGAAACAAAGTTCCCCTGAATTTGTTTCACTCACACGGTGAAATTTCCCTGTATTTGTTTTACTCACACGGTAAAATATTAAAATATGGTGAAATATTATAAATAAAAAGAGACAGTAACCCAACGCAACAAAAACATGTGAGTGTACACCTATATATATACATGTATGCCCAAGTAAAATTTTTGCACCAAACGCAAACAAAAATTTTATGAGTGAATATGTTCAAATTTAAAACAATGTTTAGATATATGTTTTTTTTTTTTATCTTTACCGATTTTAACATACATACGTTTAAAAATTATATTTGCAATGTCAAGGTGCTTCACGATCGTATCGTGAATGTTTTCTTAATAAACAAGGAAGTCTTAAAAATAATTTAAATACAGGTACACATTATGGTTTGTCCTTGCATATATTTACATCCAATTACCTGTTGCATGTTCCCCCATTCTTCTTTCATTCTGGTATACGTAAATGGCCATCAGTGCTACAACAATAGCATTAATGAATACTGATACGTAGCTCATGTCTTTAAGTGACTTCTTTAACAAGGCAGCTGTGTGTGTATTTGTTAAGAACATAGAACAATCAATGATCAGTCAGGTAAGACGGTAGTTTTAGTATAGCGTTAACCGATCAAAAGTTAATGATTTAAATCACATATTGTAGATTCAGATAAAATTTAAATAATCGTGTTATGGTATTTTATATGGTTACGTCTTTAATTAAACCGGTTAATTAAGTAATGGAAGTTGTGTAGAGTTTCTTGTATTTTATAGGACGTCATCTACTCGACGAATTATGGAATATACCGTTGTCCGTATGTGCGTTCATTCACATATCATATAAAAAAAATAAAGAATGCTTTTATCGAACATCATAAAACTTGTATTAAATATTTGACAGGGTTAAAAAAAGTTCCCTGTTTTTTGTTTGGTTCTCTAGTTCCAGAATTACAAAATGTATGGGACATTAACCGTCAAATTGAAGACAATTTTTCACATATCGCTTACTAACTCCACTATGGCTTTGATTGAATTCCTTAAACTTTACACCATTGTTGGGACTAAGAAAAAAAATTTCGTTTTCCATTTTGACTAACCTCTTATTCTTTTTCAGATCTCGAGTTTCGAGATTTTAACAGTGTCAGATAAACAGCAAAAGTTGTGCATCAACTTGAGTATTCTTGGATCGATTTACTGGAAACGTTAAACAAATGGAATTGGTGAATGTAAGATACATTTTGATTTTGGAAATTTCTGTATTGCTTTATCAAGAGTTATAATATATAATGGGAATTTTCCCGTAATATTTAGGCATTTATAACTTGTCACACACAAGCTTTTGTATGCATGGATCAAATAACTACACACTTTACGCTTTTGTTTGAATTGGTGATTGTAGTATCATTTTCTGTTTGTGAATTTTTTCTAGTTTGTCGTCCCAGAGTTATGTAACATTTAACAGTCTTAAATAAGGCAATATTGAAACATATCGTAATCTAAGCTTTTCTACAGTATAAAATACGAAGATATGGTATAATTGTTAATGAGACAACTATCAACCAGAGAACAAAATTTAATGACGAAAATGTAAGCAACAAAATGTCACCGTATGGCCTGCAACAAATTGAAAAACCCATATCATAGTAGCAAGCTATAAAAGGCCCCAACATGACAAATGTATAACAAATTAAACAAGAAAACTAACGACCTGATTTATGTACAAAACAATAAACGAAAAACAGATATGACACACAGCAACAAACGAGAACAACTGAATTACAGGCTCCTGATTTGGAACATGCACATACATATGTGGCGGGTTTTAACATGTTTAAGCCCCCTAACCTGAGGCAGTGCTATTTTCCAGATAAACTCCAGGTTAGATGTCTTCTGAATACACCATTAATAATTTTAATAGGCACAGGAAGTGCGTATCATGGGGTCTTTATGCAGCTGTTTATCTTACTTGCGATACCATTGCTTATAAAACTTTTTGTAGTTGATTGTATATTTTGACAATGAAGCCTATAACAAGTTTCTGTAGTTTATAGTACATATTGTATATAGCACACACCTTCTCGATAAAGTACAAATCAAGTAAAATATTAATACAATGGTAAACAAAAGGAAATAATACTGTACAAAACCCTCTTGTGTTAGAATCGCTTCTCAGAACCCACCTTCACAAGAACTCCCAAAGTAAAAAAAACCCCGATAATGGGATGCATTAATACCGAGTCACGTCCAAATTCATAAGACCAAAAGAAACCCAAAAGCACGAAGACAAACAAAGGGAAAACTGTTAGGCAAGTAAAAAGACTTCGGGTTGTTGTCTCTTTGACACATTCCCCATTTCCATTCTCAATTTTATTCGGTACCAAGAGTCTTTAACTCGAAACCATCTTGTATTATTTGTGTAGTAGACACTTGATATTTATCTATTATGTCTTGGTACTTTCCACAGATTTGTTTGAGAAGTTGACGAGACGTTTTTTGACATAACCCTGGCTCATTATTTTTTTGCTCAGACACCGGTGACATTTTATAAAGTCTTGAGTAGCAGCTGCAATATCGTATGAGTTGAGCAATGTATACTTCATACGCGAGTGAAGTTGGTATATTGCTGCTAAGGTGAGGAAATTTTAAAGTTTCAATATTGAAAACGTTTCGTTTGTCATAGATTCTGGTATTGAGATGACCGATGTTGTCAAATTCGAGGTAAACGTTTAGAATGAGGCGGGGGATGCTGTATCTGTGGTTTCTTTAATCTCTATTTCAACAGGATATATTTATGGAACCAAATCAGACAGGTTTCGATTGATAATGGAAAGAACATCATCAGTTTACCTGTATATGAAGTTAAATGATCTAGCTTCTTTGGTCTTCTTGATTTTTACAAGTGTCTGAAGGAACTCCGACTCATATGAAAATGCAAAAAGGTCGGCCACGAGAGGTGCACAGTTGGTTCCAAATTCCGACAACCTCCTCACAGCCACTTGTCTCTGAGTTTTTTCCCATAAACCTTAGTTAAGGTATATATGATTTTTTTTCAAAGATAAGTACCTGTGAATCTGCTGGAAAATTCTACCTCCATATTCAACAAATATGTTGTACGTATACAACAAATGTTTTGTCAATGAGAAATTCTAGAATATTGATCAATTGTTCTTGGCACGTTTTATTTTCGGACTTATTTTATACAAAATATGTAGAATTCTGTCTTTGGGTTAATGTTTAATTTACGTACTATACAGAACATACAAGAAATAATTAACAAATTCAGGTCCTAACTCCTGCAGGAAAAGTTGATTTTAAATGAATTAACCAATCTTTTAAGATTCCGTTTTTTTTTCCATATATCTCCTGGCGTTTCTACGTATGATTATATACAAAAAAGAAGATGTGGTATGATTGCCAATGAGACAATTCTCCACAAGAGACCAAATGACACAGAAATTAACAACATATGTCACCGTAAGGCTTTCAACAATGATCATAGCCCATACCGCATAGTCAGGTATAAAAGGCCACGAAATGACAAATGTAAAACAATTCAAACAAGAAAACTAACGGCCTGATTTATGTATAAAATAATGAACGAAAAACAAATACGATATACAGCAACAAACAACACTCACTGAATTACAGGCTCCTGACTTGGGACAGGCACATACAAAATGTGGCGGGCTTAAACATGTTAGCCGGCGCCCAATTCTCCCCTAACATGGGACAGTGGTGTAACAGTACAACATATGAACTAATAATAAAAATCAGTTGAAAATGGCTCAACTCATCAGATAGATACAAAGCACTAAAACAAGTAACAAAAACACAGAGTGGACGTGATTTATACATCCCCATAACAAAAAGACACTATGTACAAATCTGAGAGTACTCGCAGTTACTCACAGCTAGTTCCAAGCCAATAACAACTAATAAAAAAAAATCATGCATCTAAGACTAAATTATCAATCAGTACACATCAAACATCCAATGGATTTAGTGTAAAGACGTCATAAACAGTCAGAGAAAAACATGACCTTGTGCAATGCCAAGACACAGGTATCGACAGATTGTAAGCCATGAATATGCATATGTATATAAAAATGATAAATTTAATTTGATTTTAACTTACTGATAAAAAAATCAATAGTAATACCAATAAAAACAATATTCAAAAATCTAATTATAGGATCAATAACTTTACCCGGATCGTTTCTAAATTTCCGGGCTCGGTAAACAACATCTCCGTAAAAATAAGGATGTGCTATCTCGTTCGAAATAAGTTTTCTACAGATACAACCAAACATCAAAACCAAGTCTTTATATCTATGGAAGAATTTAGTAAAGGTTTCAATAATTTGTGGTAACGAAATCCCTGATTTAATATTTTACCAGTAATACATAGATTATGTTCATTGAAATCTAAAACGTCACAACAGACACGGGCATAGCGAACGAAGGCAAAAATAAAAATAGGGAACGAAAAATCGTCCCTTTTGTCGTAAATTATAGTGTAGAGTTTCCCGTGTGAAACTGAAATATCTAAATCTAAGAAAGGACAGCTATTTCCATTTATATTTGATTTATTTAAAGTAAGTTCGTTTGGGTAAATTTCGGCAGTATATTTAGAAATTCTTGATTATTTAACGAAAAAGTATTATCAAGATAACGGCGAATTTATTAATTAAATGCATTTTAGACGGGTCTTTACTGAGTTTGTTCATAAACTGTGATTTAAAACAGTACAAAAACAAGTCTGCGATTAAAGGGGCGCAATAGGTGCACATAGGAATACCCACAATCTGTCGATAAACTTGATTTCCGAAACGTACATAAATATTATCAAGGAGAAAATTAACAGCTTCAATCATCTAATCACACCTCCAGTAAGTATATCTAGCATATTTACCTTTCTCACTAGAGAAGAAGGCTTTAAATGAGTTGCAGCAAATATATTTGCATTCAGATTGACCAAACGACCATTTAATTAAATAGGAAAACTTTTGTTTGATAAGATTGTGTGGAAGTGTAGTGTAAAGAGTTGAAAAGTCAAAACTGTCAACAGAATAAAAAGGACCATCAAAAGCATGTAATTTATCTAAAACATCCAAAGAACTTTTTACACTCCAAAAATAGTTTATTCCACTATTTTCTTATATTTTATTACAAAAGTTAATGATCAATTCTTTGATATTAGTTAAGGAACTAGTTAAAAGCACTGAAATATTAGTTGTAGAACACTTACTAGAGGCCGAGATGAAACGATATTTTACTGGTTTTTTGTGTAGTTTAGGTAACCAATACATAGTAGGTACCTTCAAATGTTCCGAAGAGGCCTTAAGCTGTGATGTGGTTATGATATGTTTGTTTACTATATGACTCTCTGTGGAGCGCACGGACTTGAAAGTAGAAGAAATTAAAATTTCATTCTTAAGAACGTCCGTGTAGTATTTACGGCATACCACCACCACATTGTTGGCTGCTTTGTCGGCCGGTACATACACAAATCGCTTTGAAAGTACTTGAAGTTTGTTTCTTTTTCTAGAAATAGGCGTATTAGGTACTCTTTTATTTATTTCTGAATTATTTTCAAAATGTGATATTCGAATA